TCCCCAGCCCCGCCCGGGTGCTAACCCCTCGTGGTCATTTATGCCTGTCCTGCACTGACTGCCTTGCTGACGCCGAGTCGATTGAGGATGTAAAGTGATGAATGAAGACATGGGACCGCTCCACGAAAGACGGCGTGTGCTGCGCCTGCACACCTTGCTTCTCTTCTCTCGGGCCTGGCTGCCAGGGATCCCGTAGCCAAGAGCAGGCAGCTGTCTGCAGAGACGGGCAGGGGCTGGCCGTCGTGGTGTGGCACAGGGGCTGTTTCTCCGATGCAGCAGGCATTGATTGAGTGCCCTGCACAGGATCTTCGTTCCTTTTAAGGCCTCCATCCTTTTGCTGGCTGGCAGCTCCAGCGTGAGGGGATTAAAGAGCTGTGCTGTACAAAAGCAGCGTTTTCTGCTAGCTCAAATGGAAACTTGGTGGTTCCTGCTCTTGCCTTCAAAGAGAGCTCCCACGAGATGACCAATCCTTCCTCTCTCGGCTTGCTCAGCTTTCCTGTAGCCACATGAGGATTTCCAGTTGGTTTTCACATGGATTTCATCCCTGAGCTGAAAAATGTTAGTTTTAGGTCCTGTTTTGTGAGCACTGCGTTGCACCCCTGAACAAAAGGGCAACTGAGTTCTTCTCTTGAGTCCCTGGCAAAAATCACCAAGCTAATGCACCGAGTTTGAGATCACACTTTTTATTTTTCTCAGCAAAAGAAGAATTTGGAGAGTGAAGTAAATTGTTTCTATTAATTCCACCGTTATTTTATCCCTGAAATTCATAGCCAAAGTCTGCTCCTGATGGGTGTGCAGGGCTAACTGCCAGCAGGTATATTGGGAAGCCAGCTATAGACTATGGGGGGCTCAACTGCCATTTGAAATTTTGGGTACGTTTCTATGAGATTTGCAAAATGCATTTGGCATAAGAGGCATCTTGGTAAGGCTCTGTCTTTGCATATGCAAATCAGCTCGTTGCTAGCAAGAAGATGAGTTTTGAAGTCTGTGGCTGATAAACAGCTTCTCTTTTTCATAATCATTTCATTTAATGAAAATTGTATTTGTGGGAATCAGACGTGGCTTTGTGCCCCTTAGTGCTTTGACGCGTGGCAGTATCCAAAGAAGGAGACTTCACAGGAATAAATGAGCATTTCGTTTTTTGTCTGCTTGCATGTGGCCCCGATGTGCACATGCACCAGCTTTCCTTCTGTCTCCGTTGGTTTTGGGACTGGACGCTTCAGGTTCAGGAAACCCGTCTCTGGGACTCCCTTTGTCTGCTGAAATCCCTTTGCCACTGTTCAGGGTTTGCTCAACACATACTTTCTTCCTTTACCTTCCTTTCTTAATGAAATCTGTTCAGAAACTAAAGTGCTAATGACTTCTCTGAAGTTTCTCGCAGCGATAACGGGCCAGGCTTGCCACTCTTCATGAGCATAGCAAAAGTGGAAACTGGAGATGGAGTCAATCGCTGACCGTTGCAGCCTCCAGTCCAGCATCAGTGAATGTCCCAGCCACTCACCAGGCACAGCATGTAAGGATGGCTACTGTCTCCGGGACACGGAGCTGGGACTTGGGATTTTAATGTGATGAAACTTCACACTTCATATTTCTGCAAAACGGAACATAATTATTGAGTCTGAGATTTTTTTTTTTTTGTTCCTCGTTTGTAGCAGACTTCTCTTCCCTGGGAAACTTTCATTCAGCCGCTTGCACCATCTCCACCCAGTTAATCATGTCCAGCTTGTAGTCCCTTCTCAAACACCTTTCATTCTTCTTCCTAATAGCATCCAGAGTGGGGCCTCGTATTTAAACAGCCTTCTTGATGGCTGTTCTCCACGTCAGGAGGATATTTGCATGTGCATTTATCACGCCACATCCGTTTTACCTGTGCTGCTTTTATCTGTGCGCGTTTTCCCAGATTTTTGTCAAATGAGCGTCTTTGCTCTTTCAGTGCAGCGATCTCCTGTGGATGTTTGTACGATTGCCCCTTTCAGGGAGCCTTACTTGTAAGGACATGTCAAAGGCAGCGGGAAAAGAGCAGCAGCAATAAACACAGCTCGGTTTTAGTGTCACATTGAAAAGGAGAGGCAAAGCCTGCTTGCATTACTTGCCGTCGATAGTCATCATCATAGAAGTCACCAGAGCAGCTCGTGTGAGCGGGGGGTCACAGACTTGCACCTTTGGCACCTCTAGTATTGGCTCGGACACCAAGGATTTCCTATTCTGTTCACACCTATTGATGTTCTGGGATGCTGAAGTTCGATGACTGCCTGAAACTCCTTCGATAGTGCAAACTGCCCCGTGCCATTTATCAGCGTCGCTGTGCTATATGACAGGTGGCTATTATGCCTTTTTTCAGTTTACCAGAACGTGTTGGGGGAGGGAATCTCTTTGATTTGCTCTGCTGAGCAAGTTGCCGCATGTCATGCATCGTGGTGTTTTACCGCATCCCATACCGTCACAGGCGGTGCTCCTGCTTCCCCCGTGCACAGGTCCTGTTCGTTCCAGCGCTGCACACGGGATGATCAGACCCCGGAATAAATCCCATTGGCTTTCATGGAGGGTTGATCGCATCGCCAACCTCGACCTTCTTCAACAAGACTGCTCGAGGGATGCGGCGTTCGATAGCACGCCACGGGCAGAGTGAACACAAGTGTTAGTAAAGTCTGTTTTCACGTCAGACTTGAACGTGAGCCATGTTTCGCACGAGTAGTCTGGAAGGGTGCTGCCATTTTCTGACGAGCGTTTTTTTCCGAGCTCTGCAATTGAGCCTTTCCAGCGATTATTGGTTGTTTCATTTGCATGTCTAGAAGCACTGTTATTTTCTGTGCAAATTGCACAGATTTCTTCCTAAATAAGAGGTCTGCAGAACCTTTGGGAGTAATTAACTATAGTCTAGAGACAAATCTGGGTTCATTGTGCACGCTGCTCATTTAAGAAGTGTTTTTCCATGTGAGGCCCATCAGTAAGTAACCAACGCTTCCATGAATGCTAAACATTTTATTACAGGACTTTGAGCACTTCTTTTTCTTACACAGAATTTAATCTAATCCTGCAAATTGCATTTACCTTTTGATCCCTGGATAGCGAAGTGCCGGGTTGTGTACGGACTGTGTTAGGGAGCTAACATCTCTCTTGTCTTGCTTTGTAAGGCTGACGCAATAGCTTTAACCTTATGGGTTACAACAAGGAGCTGAGAGGGGTAGGGATGCTCAAAACAAACCATTTTGCTTTCCCTTTATGATCCTTTCTGGGTTTTTTGTCCGTATGTTCCCCCATTTCTCATTATTGTAAAGTTTTTCTTCCTTACCAGCTTGATCCTACTCCAGGGGAAATGAATAGCAGAAATCTCAGCGGTGCGGTATCGACTGAGCTATGGGTTCAGGTCAGCTAATTATTACCGCACGTCTGATTGGCTTCCATGGACTTAAGCAGGTGCCTAAACTTAAGCACGTGATTAAGCGCTTTGCTGATCTGAGTTCTAAAAAAATGGTATTGAGATTACTAAAGGAGTAACAGGATTAATTTGTCTGGCCTATCTTACACAGGAGATCTTGTTGGATGGTCTGCTAGTACCTTCTGGCCTGATGAACACACCTATGAGGAGAGAGTAAGTCCTAGCAAGTGAAAGATAGGAGTAGGAAATCTAAGCTAAAAACCAGTAACTACAACAAAATATCGGATCCTCCTGTGCTGAGCAGGACAGGTGTACCCGGGCCGTGGGCCAGCCTCCATCAGGGTAGGGGGCAAGTCCAGACCCACCCAGGTCGGCGGGCTTTGGCCCCCTGCTCAGAAGCACAGGGAGGAGGGAAATGCATTAAAATGCGGCTCAGCTTTCACAAAGGTTTGTCTTTCCCCCTTCTTTGCTTTGCTTGTTTGTTCGGCGAGGTTGGCAGCATCACGTCAGACGGCACTGCAGGGTTTTTTACCATGCGTTTGCCAAAATAAACATAAAACATTGCTTGCTTTCCTACAGGAGGGTTAATCATGTCTCTTGTGGTGTTTTTACGACACCTGTGCTCCATCGTGGAGCATACAAAATCTATCCAAACGCTTCTGTTTAAAGTTCTGGTGTCATGAAGGCACAACAATAATATTGGGTTGGGATTGCTGGCGTTGTCCGTGCGCTACCGGGTGCGGCGGGAGACGTTCTGTGAAGTGGCCATCAGTTGAAACGTCTTGCTCTTCAGACTTGCGTGTGCAGGTTTCACAAAACATTTAATTAACGATAATCAGCTTTTAACCAGCCAGAACGCACTGATGTGATTTCCCCCCCCATAATTATAGGCAAGGGCTGTATCCATAAGATAAATTACGCGCAGCCTGGAGAGCATGCTAACCAGCAGGAAGCGAGAGAAAGCGTGTTGCTGGTGCGGGGATATAGAAGATGTTGAGTTTGTCGTGATTTCATTGAAAAAGCAGGTGCCTTTTTCTTCTCTTTACAGAACGATGAACAGGAAAACGAGCTGGACGTCACCACGCCGCCACCTCCTCCGTGTTACGAGTCGGTGGCCGTCTGCCGTCATCCCTGAGGAAACCCTGAAGAGCACCACGCTCGCTCCTGCCACTTTGACTCCACTATGGAAGATCAAACCGTTTTGTGGCTCTCGTGTTTTGAAGTTCGGCGCCTGCGTTGGACCTGCCATTTGAAAATGAAACTCGCTTCGAGGCACGATTGAGGGAGCGGAAAACCAGTCCCGGATGATGAGCACTTTAAGTGGTGCTGGAATATTAGTCAGCTTAACAACAGTGTCTGTGACTCTGGATTTCAGTCTGCACAGTGGTCTGATGGCTTGGCCGTTAAGCAGCAATTTGACTCTGAATCAGAGTTTGCCCACGTTTGATCCTTTCAATACCTCGGAGAAGGAAGAAGTCTCTCGTATGTCCATAAGGGAGAAGAACTGGCCGGCCCTCCTGATCTTGGTTATCATTGTGCTAACTATCGGGGGGAACATCCTGGTGATCATGGCCGTCTCCTTGGAGAAAAAGCTGCAGAACGCCACAAATTACTTCCTGATGTCCTTGGCGGTGGCGGACATGCTGGTGGGGATCCTAGTCATGCCTGTGTCCCTCGTTACAGTTCTGTACGGTAAGTGACTTGAATTTTTCCTCCCATCCAGCTGAACGGGTTTGGCAGCGTGGTGGTGTCAGGGGTTGCTGTGAACGGTTGCGTATGGTGCACATCCTTTGTGTACATCCTTGGAGGAGTCTAACTCTGGCATCAGTAATGGGCCTGACTGTCATGTCTCAGTGGGTAGGGTGGCATGGTGCTAAGGTGCGCAGTTGCCTCTCCAAGAGGTTGCAGGTTCAAGCCCATAGCAGAAGTGCTCATGGTGCAGGCTGTCCAATTCTAGCAAATTCTCCTAAATGCCTTCTCCTGAGGATATGCAGAAGGAAGGTTATATCTCACATTATACTGGTGGGATGCATGTTCCTTTGAAAACAGGTTTTGTACCCATGCTGTCTTGAAGGCATGATCTCCTAAAACATTTGAGTAATAATGACCCGTGCTGCTGAGGACAGCAGGGATGAAGAATCGTTTTCCTTCTCAAGCCAGCTGCCGCCAGCTGTTTTGGTGAAACCTGTTCCAGAAGAGCGGAGCAAAGATGTAAGCTGCATGTCACCGACCAACCCAAACTACTTCTCTTTGGGCAAGACAGGAGACCTGAATAAGAGAGAGACCCTTCTTGAGAAATGCTGAGTGCCTTGAACTTTTGCTGGTTTCTTCGGGACTTGAGAACAGTCGTCGGCTCGTGAGCTTGGATCTCTCCTAGCGTACGGAGACCTGGACTTGATTTCAGTAACATGCCTGTTGCTGTCAGAGGCTCACTGCAGCAAAGCATGTGCTGGGCCAAATCTTGGGCCTACGCCCTGGAGGAAAGCAATCGATTCGGTCCCACATGCATAGCTTTAATGAGACCCCAAGACACGAGTTAAATGATTCCTGGATGTCAGACTACTTCTCTACCCTGGGTAAGCAATGAAGGTCTGGGAGTCAAAGCCCAGGGGCAGCGCCTGGCCCATCGCCTTTCCCTTCTCTGGGCCAGACAGGGTTGGTCTGAGTGTCCACCTGCTAACAGTTCTCCTAAATCCTAAAGAGGAGCTAATGCCCCTCGCACCCCGCACGTACCTCCATTGCTCCTGCTACACTGCTGAGCTTCCTCCCAAGGGTTTGAAGCCACATGCTTTACCAGCAGCCTTTGAAGGCAGGAGCCTCCATCATTTGGTGGCAGAGTTGGGCATTAATGCCCGTCTCCCTCCATGTAGGCTCAAGTCAGGCCATGATCTGGCAGAAACCCCGCTCCAGTGAGAATCAGCGACTCCTTTAAAGAAACCGTCTCAGGAAAAAAAACCCCACTGGCAGCAAGTTCTTTCTGAGCAAACTTGAAGTGCCAAGTGATTGCAAGCAGTACGTCAATGGAAGTGGTCTGCCGTGCTGGGAGGCGGCTGAGATCGGTTCTGCAAGAGGTGGTGGTCGCTGGGGGGGGCTGCTGCCGCCTGTGAAACAGCTGTGCTAGGTAATGCCGCAGGGCGCTGCCTGGCTCTGGGGGGACCTGGGCAGGCGCGGTGCAGCGGGGAGGGCTCTTGACACTTTTGTCCTATTCCCAGCTCTGCTACTGGCTTTCTACGAGCAAATCCCTTTGCCTTTCTTTGCTTTGCTGTTCCTCTCTGTCGAATGAGAATCACAATACCCTGAAGCTCAAAGTGCTCTGAGATCTCTCTATGCAGGAGCTAAGTGCTGTAGCGGGCTATTTAACTGTGCCACTAACTCCTGTGTACATATATGCATGTGCGTGCATGCGTACGGTGTATACGTGCTGTTTGGGAGGACCTGTACCACACCCTGCTAAAGTACTGACTTTCTAGCAGGAGCATCTTCCAGGGTGAGGAAACCAAGTGCGTGCTTGGGTGAGTCTTGCTAGACGTCGCAGTCCCTTTGCTGAGCCGCTGAATTGCTGGTGGGTTTCCAGTCGTCTACATCCATCAGGGAGACGAAGCTGCCACCGTTTCTGACAGCTCTTGTTTTTGTAAAAGAAAAAAACCAACAAAAAAACCCTAATTTTCCTCAGAAACAAATTAGGCTGTTTACTTAAGAGCCTGATTGGATTGGTTTGCTGGCTGGTAAAGTTAGAAGTAGGGATATTTATGTGCCTTTTCATTTGATTGAAACAGCAAGTCAGACAGCATTTCCATTTTTTATCTGGTGACCGAATGCACATGCTCCTCGAGCAATGTGCCGGGTCTGCAGCGAGGTAAATCATTATCTGACTGGGACATCCTTGTTGCATCGCTTCAGTCTTATGCAGAAAGCATTTTATTTGGAGCGACCCACCTGGCCTCAACTCGGACGTGTCTGGCAATCCAAGAGGTTCCTGAGTTTGTGTTTTTAGCTGTTTTTTATGCTTCTGCCAATACTCAGACTTACCCAGCCAAAAATGGAGTCGCACGGTGATGAGGAGAGAGCCGCTGGTTTGGCTTCACTCGAAGCTGATGAGAGCTTGCAAAGTCCTTATGTGAGTAAAAGATGTCTTACTGTGATATCCTGTGTGTCCTGGAGCTCAGAAGGGACCATATAAATGCCGCATGACTTCCTGGCTTGACAGAAAGTGAATTTATGCTTTCGGAGCATAAATTCGGAGGCTCCCACAACACCTGGGAATAAGTTTTTTGTGCGGCCTAGACAGCAAATCAGTTCTGCTTACTTAAGGTTAAAGCATCCAGTTCCTGCACGGTGCATTTTTGGAAGCAAATAAATATACAGTGATCTAAAGAGATGAATGGGGTCATTTGTAATTATTTTTCCTTCTCTGAGTGTCTGGACTAGCAGCTGACGATGGCAAAATCCTTTGTAGGCAAGTTGCTGGGTACTGCTAGAGAAAGGCTTGTGGGGTTTCAGTAATCCTTTTCTGCTCAGGATGTGCATGAATCATTTTTGGAAATGACCTCTGTAAATGTGACTGGGAGCTCCTGGGCCTTGTCTACCAGCAATAAGGCCACGGGCACCGGCTTTCCTGCTGCCCTCACCCTTGGCCACGTCTGCTTGTCTTTGCTTGGCGTAGGACTCGCCGCACATGGAAGAGCTTTGGGACCACGGTCAGGGAGCAGGGCTGGCTCAAGGACGCTGCAGAGCCCAGCGGGCTCCTGCGCCTGGGGAATCCCTTCTCCTTCCACCTCATTATTACCTGCAGCGTACGAGGAGGCAAGCTGGGGCGCAGGCGGGGGTGAGCCAGGAGTCTGTCCCCGGATGAGGAGGATGGGAGTGCTCCTGCTGCTGCCTTGCTCCGGGTACCGGGACAAGAGCGGGGCTGGTGTGTAGCTAGCACAGCCTCATGCACATCAATTGATTACCTCACATTGGAGGTACTCAATTTAATGCACATTAGAAAAGGCGCGTTAGTGCACGTGTAGACGTGCCTACACGTTCCCATATTCCTGGCTACCATTTTTTCACTCAGTGAGTTGGGAGTTTTCTGAGGCAGTAACAGGACTGGCTGGAGTCATTGATCCTTGACCAGCCACCACAACAAAAGCTTCATTATGATTTTTTACAAAGCAAAATTTTCACCTGGGTGTCTATTCTCTTGGAGGCTCTGCACGGCCAACAGAAAAGCCAGCCGGCTCCAGAACGGCTCAGTTCCTTTGATTACCCAGAAACGAATATCAGGGAGTCCCGCAGCTTTTTTCCGCAGGCCTGTTCAGGGCTTCTGTGCCCTCACTTTGCAGCAGACTCCCTGTAGCCAGTGTGCCTGCAAAGCCTCCGAATCCTGCCCGCCAACCTGACTGCTCGGCGTGATCGGATGTGGAGCATCGTGCTGGCAGGGCATCGTAAAAACCGAATATCTGCACCTGCCGACAGGTAAAATGACTGATTACATTGGCGGTGTCAAACTCATGGCTCCACACGCTGGATGCTGGTCTGTGGGTCAGCTGCCCACCGTGTGTGGGGTCGGTCTGAGACCCTCGCCCTGGATCATATGGCTCAGATACCCCTGGCTTAGATCAACCCACAAGTGACTTTCCTTTGCAAGTTCTCTGCACTTCACTCAGGGCTAATGCATCCCAGGTGCAATTGCAAGGATTTCTGCACTGGAGCGCACTTGTCCCACGTGCTGTTTTTTGCAGATGAAACCTGCTGCCTCAGTGCAAGATTGTCCAGACTCCATTTGTGTTGCACTAAGTGTGAAGTTGTATAATTCAGAGATGCAGCACTTTGCATCTGAGCTCAGGCAGCTGGTTGCTAGCAAATCTTAACTAAATCAGAATGAAAGCTTAAAATTGCATCTCCCAAGTTCAGGGAAATGGAACGAGCTCCCTTAATTTGAGTTGTTCTTCCTTAACATTAGCACATTAAAGCCTTCTGGAGTAAAGGATATATGAGCTGAACCTTTTTGTCCCCTGGAAAACTTGCCTGCATAATACAGCCCTGCAACACTGGCGCTCTCACCTTTTTATTGTGCCATTACCTCCAGTTCCTTCTTTTTTACCCACTTATTCTGGCTCTGCCTTTCTAGCCTTCTCTGTCCTTTTCTGGTCAGAGTCACTCCAAGGGGTGAACGCAAATTTGAACTCTAAAGCAATCCTTTGCAGATGGGAAGGCAGCTTGGTGGGGGGAAAGGGCCTGGCATTTCAGTGTGAACTAGCAGAAACAAGCGCTCAGTGTCAAAATTACATTTTTTTTCCCTGAAAGACTCAGAAGTAGGACGTTCCCCCACCCCAGGCTCAGCTCCTGCTGCTGGGCTTTGAGAGAGGAGCGTGCATCATCCTGCCCGTAAGATCCTGCAGCGTTCTCCGCTCCAAAATCACCATCTGGCAGCAGCAAAGAGAGCTGGTTCGATAAAGATGAACTTGGGAAGCTTGTCTTTCCATTTCCTGGCATTTGTGGATGTGACCTACCCGCAGCCAATGCTAATAGCGTGGACCTCAGCATAGGATGCATCCAGCTGGACCCAACCCCTGGGCAAGTGTCCTGCTTCCTGGAGCCTGGGAAGAAGGCATCAAGCCACCACGATGAACACATGCAGTCGTAGGGATGCAGCAGGAGTTTCTTCTTAACCCCAGACAATTATTAGCTCGTTCATGACCTGAAGCAGGAGGATACTCCTCTCCTAGCTCCAGCAATGGGAGACGAGTATTTTATTTCTCTTATCCATATCTAATGCTCTGTTGTTAATCCTGTTTAGCTCTTAACCTTACGTTCCCTTGGCCAGTCCTAGTTCCTGTTACTGTCTGCTGTCTACTTCCATTGACTAGTTCTCCCTCCTCCTATCACTAGCGTTTCCTCTCTAGCAGGTACCATTTCAGGCAACTCTCAGGTCTCCACTTTTATGTCTTTCCTCCAAGGAAGTCGCCCTGACTTTTCATGCTTTTATTATCTTCACAGCCCTTCCTTGGATCTTTGGTTGTTTTAGTTGCATCCTGCTTTGAGACGAGAGCAGTCTGTCTGGTAGCACATGCTGGGTGATATGCTGGACTTCATTAGTGCAGCTGAACCACTTAGTTGCCTCTGTACTCTCTGTGCCAGCTGAGCAGCTGTGTTGTGGAGCTGTGCTGAAGCTGTATTTAGGGTGGTGATTCCCAGCCAGGGTGCTGGGGTGCCGCGAGGTCCTTTGAAGGGTGCCACAGGACATAAGCAGATACAGGCAGGTTCAGGCTCACCCTGCCTGGCCCCTCTGCAATCAATACATTTGTTTTTGCAACGGGGTGCCACTCAGTCCCCAGAAGTTACAGAGCCATGCCTTGAGTCTAACAAAGGTGCCTTGAGTTGAACAAGGGTGCCTTAAGTCTAAAAAAAGGTTGAGAGCCACTGGGTTAAAGGAAGAACCATTTAGAAGTGGGGTTGTTTCATGACATAAACATTTGAATGCATTTCTGTGAACAAACATTTGAAAAGCAGCACTTCTCGTGCTATGCAGCTGTTCTTTTTAAATCAGCTGTCTTGTGCATTTGTCTCTTTTGTTGCACGCTCTCCTATCCCTCTCCCACCACTGCTGGGGCTCTGTCTGCTGTGTTTTATCTTGGAATATAAAGTGGCAGGAAGCCTGATTTGTATCTGTCCAGAATGTGCCACGCACGACGTGGTGCTGTACAAAAAATGAGGACATGATACACGGGATGGGGAAGTGCCAGGACAGCAGCATTATTCAGAGATGGGTGAACTTCCTCCTTTCGCTCGCTCGTTTACTTCTGCGGCTCTCGTCAGTGCACTAATGCATCCAGCTAAGCTGCATAGGCTTATCTGGTCTTGTGCTGGTCCCTCAAAATAGGTGAACTTTACGTGGGCATAAGGCTAACGAAGCAGTGGCCACGTCTCTGAACGCCATTTCGGGAGTGTATGCAGCGTGCAGAGGTGAGAGATGGGCCATGCAGTCTATCCCAATTTATCAGCCAGGGTTGGGTTTTGTAAAACAAGATGTGGCATTGTGGGGAGATGTTTGGATAAAATACCCCTACGTGTGAATACACACACATACAAATATTGTCATACACACACACACACACACAGAAAAGTCTTATTTAATATGTACTGTGTACATATGTATGTTGCTCGAAGGTATTTTACCTAAGCAACGCTATTGTCCCTTTAAACAGTCCTCCCTTTCCCATACCCAAAGTCTTCCATGCTCTGTTTTAATTAGCTGATTTTCTAAGGATGCAAGGAAGCAGTGATGCAGCGTGCCAAGCGGAGGCTTCAAGGGAGCTGTGTGCAAGAATGGCCAATTGCCCTTTTTTCCAGACCCACCCCAGTGCCTTCTCCTCTTGCCCACAGCACCGACCAGAGAGGATCCCAGGGAGAAGTATTTGCTTTGGGTCTGTGCTGTTGGAGGCATTACTGGGTCCTAGCTCCAGCCATTGCACCACAACCTGTTTTATGGTGCCTGACCTCCACCCCTTCCAAGGATGCTCTTGCCATGACTCCTTCACTGGCTTTGCAAGCTCAGCTTGCTAGTCTGGACTCCACATCCAGAAGACTGACTCCAGTGCTGGGCTTTCAGAGTCAGGTGGGTCTTCCCTGTACACGTGGCTGACCTAATAGTCACCATAGCTCAGCTCCTGGAATTGCCTGGAAAGCAAATTTCGACCTTCAGGACCTCCAGGTCCTGTGTCTGGCAGCGCTCTAGCTCTGCCTTCATGCCCTAACCCTAGTCGGCTTGTTCTCTGCAGGACTTCTTCTTCCCTGTCCTTCTTTCTCTTCCCCTTCTTGAATGCTGACTCCTCTTTGTCTGTCATTTGGATTATCATGGCTTTCTCTTTTCCCAGGAGGACTCAGAAAACAGCAAAAGCAAGTGTTCACAGTCACCGTATCAAGACCAGGGGCTTTTTAGCTGCTAAGGGACCGATAAATCACAGACTCAGAATGGGTTTGTCCCAAAGGGAAGGTGTGTCCAGCTGTTCTTCTGCCCCAGAGGTGATTAAGATGGTGGAAATAGAGTTTCAAGGCCTTTCATGGGCTTTGTCTCCTGTGCTTCTTTAGTGGCAGCTTGTCTGATCCTTGCAGACTTTCCCAGACAACAAAAGGCATAAGCACAGTCTATTCCAACCATGCAATTGGCCCAATACAAGACATCCCCCACAAATATCCTTGCCTCACGTAATTAACTGTCAGGACCTGACTGGCATTGGACCAAGGCCCGGTTTCCGTTTCTCTTGCTGTGAAGGTAAGTCCTCTGGGGTTTGACTGCCTGTCTTCTTGAAGCCAGAGGCATACAATAAAAAAAGGAAAGCCTGCTTATTTGCTAGAAGTAGGTACAATGGCACCCAGTCCTATCAAAGCAGCTTGTATTGGGCAGCACACCTGCTGAGATCAGGTGTGGTATCCCCCACTGTGCCTGCTGGCAGTGCCCCATGGTGCAGGGACCAGACCAGGCATCCTTCAGACTGCAGATTTGCCCTCGTTGAACAGACATTCAACCTAAATACCTCCAACAACACTGCTGCCACAACCGACTGCAGCAAACAAGTCCTTCTTTCTACATGTGTTAGCAGCACTTGACTATCTTGCATTCATGACCCTGGTAACGAGTGCTGATGCTGAATTTGAGCTGGGTCCTCCTAAGTGCAAACTATTCTTTCTTACCTCCTTTTCCTGAGTGCCATAAGATGCATCGCGTCCTGCACCCGCTCCGAGTCTGTCGGAGATTCATTGATTAAGAAGCCAGAGGGAGCTGTGCTGATCATCCAGCCTGACATCCTGCATAGCATAGGACAGAGTACTTCCTTGGCTTCATTCCTGTACAAACTGGAGCATGTCTATTTAGGAACACATCCATTCTTGATTCAGAGATTTCTGGGGGTGCAGACTTGCTCCAGTTGTTGCTGTGGTTAATAGCCTTCACTGTTAAAAACCTGGACCTTACAGCTCGTCTGCCTGTGCTTATCTCCTGCTCCCAGCCCTTGACTCTTGGATGTGCTAGTCCATTTGATTAAATGGCTATTGGTAAACTTAGCAGCTTCTCTCTTTGCTTGCTGCTCACCAGGTCCCCAAAATCCAGCGTTACATTCTGGACCGCTGAAGACCGGGTAACAGTCCCTGGCAATTAAGTCTCTTTCCCTTCACCCGCTCTCTGTCCTTCCTGCTAAACTCTCGATCAGAGACTTTGGGAAGGTTCATGATTGGGATCATTGTAAAGGAGCCATCTGATATGACTGATTCAGACCAACAGGCTTTTTTTACCTCCTGATTCTAGCGCGTCGAGCCAAAGCCCCAGGTGACGGCTTACCTTCCACGTGGGTGAAGAGAGGGACTATGGAAAACATCACTACCCGTGAGTATTCCCATATTTTATTGACTCTTTGACTGATCCCTGTGCTCCACAGCTGTTTGCACTGCAGCATGAAAATACTTATTCCCTGGACGGGGAAAGAGGGTTTCCATTCTGCCTATTAAAATGCTCATTTAAAATGATACCGAAAGGAAGATGGAAAGATTTAGCTTTTAAAAGCAACAAGAGTTGTTTTTCGAAGCCAAATCTGACAGCCTCATCCCCTGGGCAGAGAATGCAAGTGCGGCATGCATGGTAGAAAGCAACTTTTCTAAGAAAACTGGGAAGTGAAGCCAAGCCAGGCTTACAGGGGCAGCAGAGTATGGATGGATATAGTAGTGCTTCACATCCCTTAAAAGCACTGTACAAGGTGAAGCGACAGATGGTGCATGGCTCTGTAGCACTACAAATCTGCCCTCGTCATATAAAAATGACCCTGGATAAAAGAGGAGCAACTCTGAAGCACTTCAGCATCCATTTGCATTGGTTGCAACCCCTTCAGCAGGGGTTGGACTAGAGAAAAGACTTCTTGAGGTCCCTTCCAGCTCAGTTTTCCCCTGATTCCCTGATCATTGCTGTCATTGTCATCTTACATGCATAGATGTGCAATGGAGAAATAAATCCTCACCCTCTCCTGCTGTGGAAACAGACCTCTAGTCCTTGTGATCCAGGGAAATCTCCTGTAGTGATCATCAGCGCTAGCTCCTGTTTCCAGGGTAAGAGATTTATGAACTTAGAAGCACTTGTGCAAGGGGCTGGGGAGGTGCAACACATGTGAGCATGGGATGCCACACGTGATTCTTGTGCCAGAGCTAGGGCCGGTGTGTGTGGCATGAGCGCAGCTGTGATCAAGGTGTGAAATGCTGCAGAGGCCACGGTCGTGAGCTGTGATAACTGCACAGGGAGGTTTCTGCCGTGCACCTTCTGTCACTTGTGCGTAAGATCACGGTAGGCATCGGTTTCAGAGGAGCCCTGTGCTAGCCACTTAAATACATGCAGCAGAGCAGAGTCAGGTTTATAAACTGATTTCTGATGGATGCAATCAGAGAGGAACCTCACGCAACTCAACAAATGAAATATTCAATAGATGAGAAATTAAGTTACTTATGGATTTCTACAGCAGCTTGCTCAGGCCTGGTGATCAATTTGGGTTTGCCGGATAGGTCCATTTCCTCAATTTTCGTCTAATGAAGTAGATTAAGCACATTTCATTTCAAGCATAGCTGGGAAATTAAATAGACACTCTCCGCAAAGGCTTCTGCATATTTTTTTAAAAAAATTTTAAATGTCAAGTTGTCCATCAGTACCTAAAACTTATTACAAAGCAAGTAGTGAGGGGTAGCATAAGGCCAGATCTTTCACCAATTAATCAGTGCTCTGAGAAACTTAGCAATTAGCCCTTCCTGAATATTTCAGACATTGACAGCCTAAGATACTTTCCATGGCATGCAGTGCCTAAAGCACTAAGTAAATGAGTTTACTAATAAATAAATAGGTTGATGAGAAATTAACACTTATTTAGTGTTTTGGGACACACAGCCTGATCTTGTGGCTAACAGCCTCTGAAGTATAAAGTGAGCGTATCAGCTTTTCTGGAGGTATTGTGGTTTTAGATGACAGATGAAGATCCGTCAGTTAATTAGGATGGTCTTGAGTTAAGATATATGACTTAAGTTGCTTGCCTGACTGCTTGTTAAAAGCAGGAAGAGGTAGGATTGAGCGTGTGCATGCATTATTTTCCCTGGGGTTAACACAGTGATCCCAGCAATTCTTGCTGGCAGAAGTCACTGTGAAATTTATTACAAACTCCAACAGAAAGGGAAGAACCATCTTTGGTTTGAACGAGCACGTTAACGATGGCTAATAGCAGGTGGCGGAGAGCAATGGCCAGCACCGTGTGCTGCGACTGGAGGGCCCAGCTCTCCTAAGAGGTAATGTAAAAGTGGCATCTTCCCGCAGCTTCCAGGGAGATGGGTATTAGATGTAGCGTGCATTACCTCCAACTGCCGGAGCGGTTTTGCAACCCGATTATTGTTATTATTTATAATTATCATCATTATTTATCTAGTGACAGTGAGGCGCCTGGCACTTGTGGGAGACTCATCTGTTTATTCCCTCCGCAGAACGGAGAGAATAGGACCAGCTGTCGGGTCAAGTGACCCATTCAGCCGTCTAGTATTGCCTGACCCTGTCTTGCAGAGCAGAGGGCCATTGGCTATTCACAAGGAAAGTCTTGAATCGAGCACGACTAGAATGAGGTATTGGAAAATGAGTTGCTTGATACTAGATGGGCAGCACGATGCCTGAGAAGATAGATTCAGCCCCAGGTTTAGCACCTCCTCACCTGCCATCCCACGTAAACAACTGCAATGACGGGACCATGCCCAGTACCAAATAGCTCTTTACTTTGAAATTGCCAAAGTTTTATTATGCAAGCTTAACACAGGCCATGTGCATTGAAAATGCTTGGTATTTTCTGATACTGCAGTGTAGGAAAACATATTGCTTGACTGGAAGGAGCCGCCCACCACGTGGATTTGCTAATCACTTATAGTAATGATTCAAAAGACTGTGTGAACTGGGAGCTCAGGCCACCCAACCTCAAATGCATGCGTCAGAATTGAATGTCTGAAGAAAAGACCTGTGTGAGTGTGGAGAAAAGGTAAAATATGAAGTCTTTCTGAGTGCCAGTGACATTTTTGGTTGTCCCTACATGTTGCATCATATGGAGAGGGAGGGAGAAACGAAGCAGGAAGAGAAGTGATGCATCTTACAATAGAAATGCTCATTTATCTTATTTACCATATCAATTAGTTCATTCTGCCACCGTAGCATGAAGTTAAATGACTGCAGTCATGTATATCTAAATGAAAGTGGCAAGCTGTTTACGGCAGAGCGCCAGCCCCCACTCGTCCCAGATTCCTGGGTTGTTTTCTGTCTTCTCATCATCAGTCATTATCTAATTCTTTTCACCAACTCATAACTAACTGGTTAAACTTTCAATGTTAATTGAACAACCCATGTATGCAATTCGTCAGTTGTCCAGGAAAACAGGCCTGTGGCATCTCAGCACCCATGAAGTGATGCTGAAGAATTTCTCCTCCCCTACACAAACTCTCCCAATGAATCATTTTGTCCTCGGTGCGGATGCTTTCATCCTTCTTGTGTCGTGGCAATCCTGATGAACTCTGGGGATCCTTCAGATTAAATTAAATGAAATTAAATTCCTTTGGCTGTTAATGTATCTAGAGGCCTGTAGAAAGCCAGGATACAGAGGCTGTTGTCTCCATTGCAGCTGGTTTCAATGCAGTCCAGGAATGACTGCTGCCCCAGCTATTTGCTTTAGGTGAATTGAGCCAGAGGGCTTGTAGACATTTGATCTGGGATTTGAAGACATTGAAGTGTGAATGTCACAGACACAAGCATGCAGCAACGAGAGCAATTGTCACAGCACAGCCAGGTGCTGTCAAGCCAATCTGAGTGTCACGGCACTAGGGGCCACGATGCAATATGCACCACGGAGTGAGAAGAGTTAAAAACAGGAGCAAGAACAAGTAGGAGTGAAGTAGCACCAGGGCTGGATCCATAGGGAACCCCACAGGCATCTCCAGAAAGCTGGGAGTCTGAGTAATTGTGGTAACATGAATATTCATCACGTGTAGCACATCGTGTTTTCCTAATCCTGCACAGACATTAACTAATTTCTTCTCAAAACATCCTGGCATAGTATTAAATATTAATGCGATTTGTATTAAGTATTAATATGATTATGATCCTGAGAGGGGTAAAATCCAATCCTGTTAAGGTGACGCCCTTTCAAACCAGTCCACCGATGGGAAGGGTAGAAGATATTCATGCCGACTGGCTGATGGGTTCGTGCGCATTTATGAAGTTGGTCGCGAAGCGGTTTCCATTTCTGTCAGCGAGCTCTGACTGATCAGTGCAAATGGGAAAACGATGAAGCGTTGCATTGTTTGGCATCTGCATTGGTGAGAGAGGAAATCTCCTAGTTCTTCAAGACACAGATTTTGTAGCAAAATGTCAGTGTTATGCCTGCACAAGCACCCTTCATTTTTTTGTGCGTGAAAACATTCAGACTGGAAGAAGTGCGGGTTTTGTTGTGGGGAGCACGCAGAAACGTTTTTGCTAATATGCAGAGAGTTCAGAGTCATTCTGCAAGGTCCAGCAAGAGAAGGTGCTACAGGGTAGGAGACAATCAGGGGGAGAGAAACAGTGCCGGAGCCACAGGGGAGATAAGAAACCATTTGAAACTTGAATTTCCCAAGGCCCAAAAGGCTTCTGGTGCTTGCATCACTTTGGGTGAGGGAGAGTAGAACAGCTTCCAGTACGAGCTAAATAGCCATGGTCCCCCGCGAACAGCAAGGGAGAGGAAGGCTGCTTCTGGGCAAAGAACAGGAGGAAACTTGCAGAGGGGAAACTAGGAAACTATTATCTGCTTTGGCCGATTCCCTTACCTTCATCTCCATTGAAAACAAAACAGCTTTCTTGGTTTTTTGTAGGCTTTGCTATCCTAAATCACCTGATAAGTTGCCATTTTACTGTTTAGCCCTTTTTCAGATGATTAGCAAGATGTATTATCTTTTATCGTGTCGTGCTCCCCAGAGTAAGATACGTGCTTCATTTCTGAAAGAATGAAGAAAAAAATGTCTTTCCTTGTAGCTGAGTAGCAGAAGCCAGAGCCAAGGCTGCTCATTGCTCTGTTCCCCGTGGATCTCAGCCTCAACTTTCATTTTTCCCCAGTAAGTGGCAGAAACTGCTCGTACTGTATTACTCACATATAACGTGCACTCTAGTTTCCAGCCACTGGGGAAAAATGCATGTTGAATGCCAGAAAATGTGGTATTTAACCATGTATTAACTGTTAAATACATGGTTAAATGCCGTGTTTTCTGGCATTCAACATGCACTTTTCCAATGTATTGAACAGTTTAGAAGGTAGGCCACCCCGCTGCTGAATTCACAGCATATTAGAAATTATCTCT